GCAGCACCATCATTTTATGGTCTGAAACCTTTTACAAATGAAACATTATACGCTTACCTGAGGATCTCTCTGTAATTGTTCTACAATTCGACGAAAGTTGAAGAGTTCGTACTGAGTAGCGTGAGACGGAACAAGTTCAGCCGTACCGTTAAAGTTCAGGGTATCTTTGAGATCGGGCTTAATAAATAGCTGGCCGATGCTATTGAGCACGGTTACCGCTGCTCGGTCCATTTCTCTAAGGCTGCCGGACATTTGAAACAAGCACTTGTACAGTTCTGCCATCAGTCTCAAAGAGGCATAGTTGTAGATAAATTTTGGTCTGGCACCGGTAGCGGTTCTTTCCTAAACACCAAATTGTGCGCCGGATTATCGCATAAAATTGAACAATCAGTGTTCACGATCACCTTTGTTAGTATACTGTAGCAGAACGAACATGAAAGTTCCATTCATACGGTAGGACATGGCGCGGCCAGTGGCACGTTAAATGCTGACAGCTTGGGCTCGAATTATGGATGGTGCAACTCGATTATAAAACGACTCGTCGTAACTGCGGGTGATGGGCGACATCGCCCAGTGTTGACCATTATTAATGGGTATGACACGACTCCCTGCAGAGTGGCCCTCTGAATTCTGTAAGAGAACAACTGCGGGTCCCATCAGTTCATCACCATGCGATGGATAGCATGGCCCACACATGACAATTACCACGTCTTAAATCGTCGATTTGATCTTCGGCACTGTGCGACTCTGACGGGGTACAGTTGGACTAGCTCTTGCTGCCGAAGAACATGTATAAGGGGCCATTCCGGTGTTGAACGATATATACTACCTTGATCAGTAAGTACTTGCAGTCGAATAGTGGGAAACTGAGCTCCTTGAAAGGGCAGTGCTGCGTATCATCCACATACGACGACAAACTTCCAGGAAGGGACCGACCCCCCACTCCACCTTTTATACGAAAAACATATCCAAACATCGGTGCAATAATGTGCATTGGAAGCAGCTTCTCTTTGTTAGTACTCCTTCGTCATTTTGCACTGAGGCTGCCATGAAACGAGGCTTAGATAAAACATAAATCTATCGCTGTTTCTTGCCTCCAAACCTCTCTCTACGCCGAGTTGTTCACTGATCAGACCTTGTGGGGTCAAAACAAAATTTCGGTGTTGCCATTTTCCTACGAAATCCTCTGGGAGTGCGCGTAACCCATGTAATTAAATTTCCCACGTGTGTTAACGTAGCTCCGAAAGACGCCGTGATTGACGTTTCATCATACAAATGAAGGGCTATCATTTAGGAACAACGGCCTTGAATCTGCCGAAAGTACATATGTTGTAGGTGATTTGCTTGTAAAATGACGTGATCTGTTGCCCGAGGATCGTCGTACGCCGCCATCCTCACATACAACCAATCTGTAGGACGCTGAGGATGAGGTTCCGCGACGGAGGAGGCTCGCATTGCCTGCTGTTACATTGATTAACAGAGATGAGTACGGAAGGCAGTTTCTATCAACCTCACATCCTTAGCTGTATGCGTCATTGACACCTTGCATAAGAATAGAATGCATCCAGTGCGGACATTGAATCGCATCAAACACTGGTCAGACTTCCTATAGACCGTTTTCCATACCTTGACCTCCCATCCTTCATCTGGCCTTGTTTAGTAGTGGGCGCACACAAATATAATTCAAAACTCCTCTAATCAGAGCGGTACTCGACATTCCCTCGATATCCCTGAACACTGTGTTTAGGGACGAATGAGGGAGAGTTTATGAGATAGAATAGTTTAATTCGCAATATTTGACGTTCATTGGTTGGCAGCAGACAAGCCGCAATTTTTCATCGTAGACCGTAGCACTTAAATTACTTCACTCAGATATCAAGCTTATGCACTCAGTACCTCAGCTTTGGCGACACTTGCAAACTCTTCGTCCAGTCGGCTCCATCACTCACTGCCATTGAATCTCTTCTTGTATAGTTCCTTTCATCTTTTCTGAGCAAATCACTCTTGTCATGTTTTCTAAAAATAAAATCGAACGGTATCTTGTGGATTCCAGCCCCGGAAGTATGCCTGTGCTATACTTGCACAGAAACAAGTCGCCCTTGATTCAAAATATTCAGAAGGATCTCAGGCGGGCCTCCGATATACGCAACATGACATAGTGCCCAGCCCTTAAGTCAACGTCAAGTCAAGAGAAAGCTGCATAGCTGGCGTTGTGTTATTGGACAAATATAACTTTATATTCAACATGTGTCAAGAGCAATAAAAGCTATATATTGTAAAAGGGACGCTACCTCATCAAATCCTTCGGAATCCATGAGATCCAGACTATATATCTGACGGATAATAGCTCTGTTGGAGCCGATTCCGCCATCCTCTTTCACAGCCAGTTGAGGGCTCATCGCACGAGTAACAACTGCTGCAGAGAACGCTTCCGTGTCTGTCAGCGACGCCTCTATCGCATTCATCACATCCGTAATTTCGTTTTCGCAAACGATGCCATTGTCTTGAAGCTTCTGCATAATCGGAGCGACCTCCTGTTCAGGAACAGCTACGCCCCTACCCATCGTATTGAAAATGTTCAGGAGTTGCATCAGCGGAATCAGAAAACGTTGCTGCAGTGCTGTGGTCAGTTGATTAACGGAGGCAAATTTTCCTGTCTTTTGAAGAGCCTAAAAACATGTCAACCATGACGAGAACCAACCAATCAGAATAAAGATATTAGATATATCAAAGAATGAGGCAGTCAGATATGCTGATCGTACCTAAAGAATGTCATAGGCATAACGAAAATACAAACTCAAACTTTAAAAAGTTTTAATTCACTGCAATGCATGATGAAATTTAACCAGTGTGTGCAAGAAAGGTAGAAAGCTTCTCAGCCTCTACAATGTAAATACCTGTAAATAAGTGAAGTAACAAGCGTAGACCACATTGGCCATAAAATGTTGCATGACCAGTAACCCTCAGACGCATCAGGGCAACGATAGTGAGGGTACGAACGTGAGGACAAATAAATAATTGTCTTTATCACCTCATTGTAGCATAGATGTCATTTCTAAGTGCAGGAACATACGTTTTAAGGAGGAAAAAATTGTGCATGTGTTTCGTTAGGAGTACCCATTTTGTGTCTGACGCGAGCTTGAACATTATCCGACAATACATAAACAAAAAATAGAAAATATTATTATATCAAAATTAAATCTGGACGGCAGAGCTACTCAGACCATTAAAGCAGATTTGGTTGAATAAAACTACAGCGGTCACTAATTCCGCCTTTTTAACTAATAGTATCAGGTGATCGGTCTGTTTTATTATCACGAGCTATTAAATTAAACGGTACAGCCTCGCACTGGCTGTATTTATCCTGCGGCTCTGGCCTTATCCTGTGAATAAAGGATGGAAAAAGAAACAAACAAACAGACGATTTCAATAAATGGCATGATCAAAGGAAAAAAATGATAAAGCCTAAAAAATTCAGCATAATGACGTTCCCTGAACTTGCACCTAAGCATATCAGTTGTTTGAATAGTGGATAGCATTTGCCAACTTATGAGGTTACTAGATTATTAGATAGGAACATAAGAAACAATTTCCTCCGTAGTTAGTTTGGAGAAAACCGTGCTTTTTCGTCTCATCTTCCAAAACGTTTTCGCTCTGATTTTCCAATACATCGCAGTACATGCACCACATGGCCATTGCAAATGGCTGATGGCGTCCTACTACCGCATTGCCTCTCACAGCCATCCCGATAGACCATCATTTCAGCCAGATTCTTTCATCGGTCGCTAAACGTACCCGTTTTTGAGTGTAGTGATAGAACGTCTATGTTCACGATCATAGCTTGAATTCCGTGTTGAGACGTAGTTGTGCTTGTGCGTAGAAAAGAATACAAAAAGAGGATGTAACAATTGAAAACCCAACCAGATCCAGTGTTAAAGAGTTAGTGATAAGAAAGCTGACGAAATGTTTCTGCACTTCGCGTTATCAAACGACAACGAGGGTATATCCACTGCACAAATTTCAGACTTGAAATTGCAAAATGGTTCACACATTCCTCATTCGTATCTCCGCTCATCGCCAGCCTAGTAGATGATGGGTTCCAGTTCTTGATTCCAATTCATTTCTGAATTCATTTCCAATTTTCAGTGGAGTAATAGAATTGTACCACTGATATTCATGGTCTTGTGTCTGCTACGGCTTTTTGCTGAGGCATGAGTCGCTTTGCATACAGCGAAAAGAAAAAGAAAAAAATTATGATAAGGAAACGACAGGTATGAAAGAATTTTTGATAACGAAAGCAGCGGAAAAAGTGCTGAATGTTTATAATGATCAACGATGAAGAGAACAACCATGAGATTTAACTGAGCGAGACTTGAGTGACACACTTCGTCATTAAGCCAATTTCGACATTCTCACTGGTCAAAGCATCTGATCATCATCTTTGCATCTTATGCTGATGCAAAG